ACAGTGGACCATAATGTTCAAAGGATCAACATTTCCAATAGCAATCAAACACCAATATCATTGCATTATCGTCCAGCACATCAGCACACATTATTCCTGTATTGTATGGCTCGGAGACAGATGTCAGTTAAGTACACACAAACCTCCTTCAAACCCAAATCTCACTGGAGAAATCCCCTAGATCCTATTATGCATATGTTGAGTCTCTGTTTATCCCTGCAGTCTCCATATATATTTGAGTGCCATGTGATCATGAGTCTGTTGGCTATGCTGCGGACAGGCTGACATTGCCAAGTAAAGAACTATCAACATGACTTCTCACAATTTGTACACAGTTAATGACATATCTGCTGTTTTATTTTGCCACTGCAACTTTAATTGTTTTAAAGAAACAAGGCAAAGTATTGTATATACTTTGGTATCAGAACTAAGCAAAGGGCTACAACTCTGTATATAGTTCAACACAAAACAATATGTGAGTATGAGATGCTCTAACCCCAGAGGAACTTGTATACGAAAGTGTTTTTTGGCTTGATAGGTGACAAGAGTATCACAATATTTTTCCTGAACAATGTGAAGCATACTAATCAAGGGACCATAACTCTGTATGAATGGTGGCTTGAGATGTGATTTTAGTATATCACACTTAACCATTCCATGAAGTACCAAGATATACAAAATTTTGCAATTTAAGTGACAGAGTTTATGAAATATAATGCTCAGGACACTGACACACGGATGGAGTCCATACCTAATTATCCTCCTCAGGTATAGAACTGTCAAGGGACTAACTTACTGTTCTGGGCCCATTTTCATGAAACCATTTTCAGGCTCAAGCATGGATTCTGTGCTCAGACCCAACTAATTGTAACTCACTTCAATCATGTTACACAGCCAAAGTCAGTTAAATGTAAACATTGAAAATAGTATTCTGCTGCAAGTCTCCCAAATTCTTAAACATCTTAAACATCAAGTTTGAGTATGAGAACGGAGACCTTTTTACCTTGGACCTTCAGATGTTGCAAAAAAAACACCAGAGAATTGATGACAGCTGAATTTACATAAATTTATTCAATTTCTCAATAAATTTTTTATTTAAGATTTTTATCTTCCAAACCAGCCCTAGAACACCAATGTGCTGGTTTGATAAGCATTTGAATCTGAAATTCTTGGGAGAGCCAGTAACCTGAAGCTACATGGAACACTTGTAGCATAAAATAATTGGTACATTGTACAGGGTATATGTTGGACCGTTAATTGTTTTGTCCTAAGAATCATCATTAAAATTATAGAACCTGCAGCTAAACATTCTTCACGTGTTAATAAATGTTGCAAGTACCAAATTTCATAAATATCTGTAAAAAATTCCTTCATAAATATCTGTAAAAAATTCCTTCAAGATAAATAGAAAACTAAAACAAATATCTGTTAGGCTGAAATCATGGCCTATCAGGATAAAAATAGCACCATTCTTGTGGCATTTCATGGATATAAAATCATAATAGACTCCCACTTATAATGTTGCGTTTAAGTTTGCATTAACAGAATATTGATCTGATGTGATGACAGATAGTTTCTCGACAGCTTATGTTTCCTGATATCTGTAATGCTACTAGAATGCTCTAAAAACCCAATACAAATCTCTAGGTTTAATGGATGATGAACAAATACAGCAAATACCACAGGGGAATTATTAATCGTACAAAGACATCTTTTGATATAAATCTGAGAGATTGTTAGGAATATACAACATCCTTAATGCCTGTCAATGGTTTAGTTTCTTAAAGAATATACCCGCCTGTGTTCTTTCTGTGCTCTTTGAATACAGAAACTATCAGTATCACATGGTCATACAATTGTTTTGTTTTTATTTCCATCCGTGAAGATTATCAAAATTGATCTCATCATTGCATATGAACAGTTTTCACCCAAAATTCATAGTTGACATTGTTGATGTGTAGGCCTGTTTTAAGTTATGAACAAAACACTTCATGAATTTTCACTGGAGGGTTTATGATTTGTTGCAGAAAGGGGTTTTGTAAGGAGCTTACATATTTCACATTAATGCATATACAGTACTGGATTTTATTTTTCATTTGTTTATAGGCATATTAGTTAAGATTCGGATCAGTAACTCAGTAGTCAGTAATTCACAAACACATTGTATAATATCATCTACTGTATCAATTATATCATGATTATTTATCGTTTTCTTTTTTCATGATTACTTTTCCAAATTATTCACATGATTAAACTGGCTTTGATAAATTCTATTTTAATCAATAATAACGACAGAAAATTTATTTTGATTACAGACTTTTTGCAGAATATTTCTTTTCATGTTAATTTGAATAAGCATCAAAAGCAATTTGCTAACGATTATTTATACCTAGAGTAAAACATGGACTTGTGCCCTTTTGAATAGGTACATAACTGTCAGTTTGTGAAATTCAGTGTGTGTAAAAAACAGGTACTGGGTATTTCACAGTCATGCTAGGGTAAACCGACGATGTTCTCTGGAGGGCTCCAACACTAGCATCAAACATAAACATACAGAATCAATATCAACAGAAAAAGCATTAAATTATTTTTAATTTATGTTTGCAACTTTTCAGGAGGTTTCATAATAATACTCCACAAAGGCGTAGGGAAATTCATTAACTTCTTAATTTAATAAAGAGTCAAGGAATATGCATAAAATATGTTATCAAAGTCAGACTGTCTTGATTAAGCCATTTTCAAACCTTATAATTTTAGTTTATTGTATGTGAAATTAAACTACAAATCAAAGAAAAAAATCATAAAAGTTTAGCATTAACCATTAAGGAAGATGTCATTGACATTGCCAAATTGAACATAGAATAAGAGAACTGTATTAAAAACAATTGTCATTTTTTTTTTATAAAATCGTTTAATGTCTGCCTCAATGCAAATTTTCTAATAATTTGGACACTGGTGATCTCACTTCCAACACCCATTCCTGTGTGTTTGTTTGGATATTAGATACAGTCAATACAAACGGTTCTCTTCCTGAATGAATTCTTCCACTGCCGACGTCGAAGACATTGTAACCATACAAATGTGTCCAATCTAACATCGCGTCTCCAATATTACATCACTTGAGCGTATTAATTGTACTTTTGATTGCTCTTTGAGGAGGCACAGTTGAAGTTATATTCACATGAAATTGCCATTCAGAAAAACTTAGGGGTAGTAAAAAAACTCTCATCATCATAATTTGGCTTGAGAGTTGTTTAAGTATCTTCCCATAAGTGTGTGTGCCGACTGGCTTATGGGCCTGTTGACAGCACTGATGACATTCTGAGATACGATATCAACCTATATTACGTGTATTTGAAACCTTACAACATCCCCAATGAAGGAAGCAAGTCATATCAAATAAATATCAGCAGCACATTAGCCCAAACATACAAGGAAACGATGTTTTTGTACTGTAATTATGGTCAATGATGGCAGACTGAAGGCTGCAGTTCACTTGTTAATCCATATGACCTGTCATCATCTTGTTTGTGGGTATTGATTATTTTTACTTTGTTCTGCAGTTAACCCAACTACAGATTTCCCACAGCGAGTCCCCAGGGTTGACATTTCTGACATCTTTTTCAGTTTTGAAAAGAGGTCCACTGTTTTCTATCCCCTTAATTTTTACATGAATTTTCCCAGGAGAATTTCTAGGGTTTCATTTATTCAGTAATTTTTTTAAAAAGAATGCAATAGATTTTTTTTCAGTTATCATTTTTCACAGATTTTGTATGGAAAATGTCCATGGTTTCCTTTAATCGTTATATGTAAATTCTTTTCCATTTTTTATTGACAAATTCGATTAAGTTTTTCTATAATGATAGTTTTTTTTTCATTGAATACAAAAAATAACGGGAAACTGTGGGGGGAGAAAAAAATCATGTAAAATCAATCTAAACCCCTGGCCCTTTTTCCATAATTTAACTACATATTTTACTATTTACTTTTTTCTCTATCTTAGGGAAATGCTTGGTTGTGTACCCCAAAAGGATTGCTTACCATGAGATCATACGTAAAGGTATTCTATGTATGCAATGCATAATCAGAGTGGAAGGAAATCCTTTTCCTACTCGAAGACATTTGGTTTCTCTATACAGAATGGCCTAACAATACCTAATCAGGAATAGTCTTTAATAGGTCGCCTGAACATAACCCGATACAGTTTTGTCATATCCTGCATTATATTGTATCCTCGATGTAACGGATGAAGGAATTGGTTTGAACTAAATTGGTGTATGCATTGTAGTGACCAGCTCATCAAAACCAAATACACAGGCATTTCTATGTTTGGGTCAAGCTGAACAAAATACAATGTTATCAAGCGTAAATAAATCAAAATGTTTAAACTATAAGCTTGACGGCCCAAAGGAACCTTCAAAACCTCATAAACAACAAACTTTTTAAAATCTGTGTTGATAAATTTTGGTTGATCATCAATAAATTGTTTTTAAATGTTCGTATTAGTTACAGCAGCTCTCCCTCAGTATTTGTTAAATCTGGTGTTTCGTTCATTATAAACTGAGATCCCAGCTGTAATCCAAGAGAATTTGCCTTAAGCTCTTGACAGGAGAGGAAAAGCTTGTGGTTGTTTCAATCTTAATTATCCGCGAGATTAACTTCATAAAACTCATTTACAACGAAATATTGAAGCAAATAAATTATCATGAACTCAATCAATACCAAAATAAAAAGTCAAACAACATCAATCAAGACTCATTAGCTGAAGGTTATATGGTACCTTACTACAAATCGTATCTGTGAAATAGGATAGAGTTATATCCCTTCAAAGTTCTAATGAGAATAATCTAATTATTCATAATTAACAGAGTGCTGTCACCTACACAAGTCGAAATTGCCCTTTGTTCAACATATTTTACTGGAATTTAGTGTGAAATTCTCTCGAAAAAGAAGTTCATGTCGCATCCAATTTTCAGTAAATGAGCTGTACATATACTTACTTGGTATAATAGTTTTGTATCTGTTCTTCATACCAGAACCTGCCACGTAAACTTTTTCTGGATGATTCATAGGAATTTCCTGACAAAAGTGCAAAAAACACAACATAAATTTTCGTCAAATGTCAAACTTTCATGAAGCATTTTCCTTTCAATGATTAGTCCCTGTTTGTTGGCATTTTCATCAATATTAAATTAGAAAAAGAAGAACTTTAATCTTTTAATGAATGATTTTGCAACAAACAAACCTAAAATTCCTTTTAACAAATGGGAGCATCTCAAGCTTTCCTACAAATATGAAAAAGGACCATCTTGATCTCCTTACAAATACTAGTGAACAGTTAAGGAACATTGAAATGTAAAACAAGGGCACAGTATTATTATATGCAGTTGTTGAATCGATTTGGCCTAAAAATGCTTCTCTTTTGTTGATAATTGCAATGATCAAATGATAACCTCTTCACATTTGCAAACATTTACATCATGGAAGGTGTCTGAGTGAAACTGTAATGCCTTATGTCCCATCATAAATATAAATGGAAAGATACATTTCAATCATTAAAAAATCTTGATATTTGAGAAAGAGTCTATCGCGATAAAACCCCAGAAGAACAAAGGGTGAGAAGAGCCAACGCCGGTCCAATGTGGGTTGGGGTCCTTAAGTAGTAAACGCTGGGAATAGATAAAGATCAGCATGCAGGGCGTCAACTCAAATGTAAAATAAAACATAGAAAGTGGAAGTGTTCTCGACATTAACCAGCTCCACAAGATAAGTAAGGTAGACTATTTTATTACTTGCTGACCGGTTCAGCCAGTTATGGCTTGTCAGGGTATAAACCTCAAAAGGATACATCTAAATACAAAATTGCTCGACAATAATTTGGATTTCAAATATTTTTGACAACAATCAATATCACCACTATTTCAGTGAGTTACTTACCCAAAACTCTTCATATAAAGCTTTGGAGTGTTTTACTGCCATTCTTAGGTCTCTTCTGCTCAATCTGTTCCCCGCAGATAGCAAATACTCCAAACCAGTACTGCAATAGATTCAAGTAAAATCATTGTCAAATTCACCATCACTACACCGTAAAACCTTGAAATATGGTGTTATATTTGCCACACATCTTATGGTAACATATTCCAAGGTCACTTTGCCATTTTTTCTTGCTAGGAAATAAAAGGTAGTTAGAACTAGAAAGAAAAAGTAAGATCTTAAATATTGCAACAGGTTTCCTAGCGCCTTGCTTGGCAATACCTCACTTTTGGCTTTAAGGTTGAACATATAGCCTAGGCGAGAAAAGCAATGGGTTCTGTCTTCAGGCTGGGCGGAAGGTTGTGCCGGGTGCATTCAGCATTGCATTTCAGTGAGATAGCACTATAAAATCAGTATCATATCTACACTATAACAAGAAGGCAAATACACTAACAAATCCAGTCTCCAGCACACATACACACATGGAGACACGTCCTTAAATAATTAAATGACCTAAGCTGTATGTAGGACGCTAGACCATGTACAACCAACCAATCAACCTTTACAATGCCCAACTTTTCTGATTTACCTTTCTTTTGGTGGTGTCCCATCCCATCTCTTCATTTCTGGCGAGGCATTCAAGTCTATTGTTAAAGAAGCATTTGATCCTCGTCTGAAAGATGAATTTATAACTAAGATCAACCGTGGAAGTAAATATGTTTCATTATAGATGTGTTACAATGTTTCAATAGGGAGATTGTGGTGAGAAAGAGTAGGGTTTGCTAACTGGTAGAAACTATGGACAATGCAGTACATGCATAATCCAACCTCTGCATGTTCTCAAGCCACACATATCCTCAGTTAAACAATTATGCCAAATAATCTATGTTTCAAAGCAAAGTACCTTACGATAATAAAGGATAATATAATACAAACAATTATGATCTTAATTGTGTTTGTGCGAAAAATACTTTCATTTCTGGTCAGACAGCATTGGGTGTCTTTTGGTATTCTCTATGCTGACCTGTTCTGTGTCTGTAACACTTACCCCTTTAGCCTTCCTAGAAGACTCTACCATAAACCTTGATTCAATAAACTTACTAAGAATCACTTGACCTCATTGATCTTACTTAAGAGCCACTTGACCTTAATGTCACTGACCTTTCCAAGAGAAATTGACTCACTGACAACTCTTTTTTTTTACCTTGACCTCAATTTCACTGATCTTTCAATAACCTTGACATCACTTTTTTTCTATAAATAAAGTCCAAGCTCACACACTAACATTTCCAAACTATTTTTGACCCTGATTCCAATGAGATTTGACCTTGACATCACACAATTATTTAGCTTTGGTATATCTGACATATCTAAGAAACCCTTGGCTGCTGCCTAAATTACCTTAGCCAATGACCTTTGGCCTTGACCTCACTGACCTTTCTAATAGTCCTTTTGCCTTGACTCTCATTGGGGGTGTCTGTACTTGGGTTACACAGCCCTTAGTGACAAATGTAGGACTAGTTTCTGGTTGTATCATCATGGGGTCCTTCATATCTGGTTTGATGGAGGGGTAGTACACCTGCTGGGGCTTAGTCAGCTCCTTGGGGGCCAGTGGCTCCTTCTTGGACTTCCGCCAGCAACAATACACCTACACATAAAAGCATGATAAATGTCAGTGAACTTGGGTTAAAGCTTAAAATAGTTTTTCAAGGTAGTGCTGTGGTAGCCATATTCAATGTCTGATCAGCCAAAGAAGAAAAATAAAACTTTGCAAGGACCATCAATTAATCATCCTTACCACATTTCAGTTGAAATAGCCCATTATAACTTGATTTTAATTTTGGAAAAGGTTTTTAAAATGGCACCCCTGGTGACCATATTTGATTTCTGATCAACCCGAAAAATTATAACACTTTTGTCAGGACCATCAGTAGACCAACCTCATCAAGGTAAAGACATAGATTAGGATTTAAGACTCAAGTTTGACTTTGAAATAATTTCTATAAATAGTGGCGGCTGTGGCCATATTGGATTTCTGATTGGCCTTCAGTATAACATTAAACGTAAGTGAAATCTGTTAAGCAGCAGTTTAGCTGAAGTTAAGAATGTTCAGCTAATTTTAAGCTTAGCAACTTGCAAGACAGGGGTACTGCACAAACATTGACAAGAACTATCGTTATAGGTCATGATCACTGAGTGTTAATGGATCAGGTGACCTAGAAATGTTATACATGGAATCCCTAGCTAATCATCATACATAATCATGTATAAAAAAAATATTTATTTTACAACATTATGAAACAAATTATTTCAACTTATATTAATCACTCTTGTTGGCCTGGATGTTAGCACGTGGGGGGTCTTAGTGTGGGAGGAAACCAGAGTACCCAGAGAAAACCCACGTGGTCGGGCAGGTGACCCCAACCTTTTCACGTCATAATCACGTACCACAATAGATACTATCAGGAGGAGGTACACTCCACAAGCTGCTGCCACATAAGGGAAATAACTCTCCATCCAAAACTTGACATGGTATTTCTCGATGACAAAATCATGCTGAATAAAGAAAGAAATCAAACACTTTGCTAACTTATTGATTTTATTACATACTATACATTATAAGTATTTCATCAGAAATTCATTTCAAGTTATTTTGTGAGGACAGAAGAGCTTGAATTCATATAACCAAAACTAAAATGAACAGTATTTCTGACAGAATCTAACAAAGAACATTATAATAGTGGTCACTTTTTATGTTGAATATGTTTGAAAATAAATTATAATCATTAATTGATTATATAATTGACAGTAGATAAGAACAGAAATATATGTGGTCCATTTATCAATTTCCTTGAAGAAATAAATTTTAAGATAATCTTTATCTATTGGTCACCTAAATCATTATTTGAGGTTGCCTGATATTAAGTCAACCCATATCAAATCAAGATCTGCAGAAACGCAACCCCCTCTCCATCCTCTCCCCCAACCACTACTTTGAATCAGAGTTTAAGTGTTGCCCACATGAACTTATGGCAAGACAAGTACTGTTATTTCACCTATTGGGTGCTGGGTGCATCATTTTAAGGTCAGAAGTGTTTCGAACAAATTTCATTCTATCATATAAGCTACAATGTATATATCCCCATGCATGAACATCATCTCAACATTATTCGATCTTAAACCAATTAGTTAATTGAGCAAAGATAATTTTATAAAATATATACATTTCTTGCATATGTATATCTGAAGTTTAAACTTTATGATTTACACAAGAAATTAATACCTTTAACCTTGGGACAGACTAACCTTGACCTACTAACCTGAGGATAAAATGATGTGATATTCAATGTAGGCACTTGGTTTTGGACTGTCTGCAGCAAATCATCAGTAATTATTTCATCAGCTGTCTTTAAGTCGATCAGTCTAAACATGTTCACAGGGTGACCAAGTTTTATGAAAAAAAGTTCAACTTCCAACCCCTGAAACAGATCAAACATCAGATTATATAGAGAGATTGACCTCTTTTTCATATTATTTTGCTTCCTGTATGTTGGCATTCTGAAGTTACAATATATTATGCCAGTCTCATGTATTTTTGTCCAGTGCAATCATATAAAAAATTGTGAACATTTTCTTCAAGCAGTTCTTGCTTCAAATTTCAAGAACACGTCAAACTAGGATGTCCATGTTAGTAATTAAGATTCTATTTTAGACTAATTAAAATCATCTTCCGTGATTTAGTTCAGGCAGGTTTGAAATTCTTCTGGAAGCATCTAAAATTCCTATGATACAATGCTTGCAAGACTGGCAGGAAGAGTTTACAGTCATGTACTTGTCCTTGACCTTTTGCTGAGCTTTCTAGAACACCACTTAGAGAAGTGGGTGACTCTTTGGAGCTTTGTTTGTATTTCAGGTGAATTAAATATAAGAAGTGCTTAAAATGTACTAAATTGGTTTGATATGGTTTTACGTCCTATTCATAGCTAAAGTCAATTATGGATGGGCCTCTATGTGTGCATGTGTGCTGGAGGTAAGGGTATGTTGGTGTAAATGCTTCCATCGATAACACTGATCTGATGCCGAATTCCTCAATGAAATACCATGCCGAATGCACCCAGCATAGCATTCCACCCCTTTACATTATTATATAATGACAACAGCTGAAGCAGTTGTCAAATGTACTGAAAATGAACTGCAATTTCGCATTGCAACTAGAACACTGACAGGTCAGTAAGGGCCCCGTCTTGTGGCAATATATCCCCCATAATCATCAAGAATGACGCGTTGTTTTAATTCCCACAAAAATTTGCTTCAAAGTGTCATAATGATATATTCACCAGCAAAAAAATACTAAATTTTACCATGACCTTTTACAGAGTGACCTTGACCTTAAGTCAGTTGACTCTTTGTTAAATTCCGACCAACTTTGCTTTATAAAGTCGTAACAACATGTTCGACAGGGAAAAGATACAAAATTTGACCGTGACCTTTGACACAGTGACCTTGACCTTTGGTCAATTGATTCCTTGTTTAATTCTGACCAACATTGCTGCATAATGCCATAACAAAATGTTCATCAGGGAAAAGATACAAAATTTAACCTTCATCTTTGACCCATTGACCTTGACCTTTGGTCAATTGACTCCTTGTTTAATTCTGAGCATCATTTCTTCAAAGTGTCATACCAAAATGTTCACCAGTGAAAAGATACAAAATTTAACCTTCATCTTTGACCCAGTGACCTTGACCTTTGGTCAATTGATTCCTTGTTTAATTCTGACCAACATTGCTGCATAATGTCATAACAAAATGTTCATCAGTGAAAAGATGAAAAATTTGACCTTGACATTTGAACCTAATGACCTTGACCTTTGACATTGACTTTTTACCTCAATGTGTATTTTTGTGAACTGAACATCTTTACCAAGTTTCATGTACATCGGTCAATAAATACCAAAGTTATCAGCCAGGAACAAAATTTGTTGACGGACAGACAGACAAACAGACAGACAGAGTGACCCGTATCTCCGATACGGGGCCCTAATTAAGTGAAATGGGTAGTTAAGATGTCACAAGGTTTTCCACTCTGCTTTCAAGCTGTGAATAGAATTGACAATAACACTAAGGTCTGAATCAACTTCAAATTAAATTGGCATGTTAGATATCTCATGTTTTAAAAAAAATACCAATATTTTACAACAATGTTCAGTGAATAAATATCAAAGAAAATGTTAAAGAGATATTCTGTTAAAAGAAATGCACTTAAGTGACAATGTTCTGTGAATACATGTCAAAGGAAATGAATAAAGGCCATATTGCGTGTTGGATAAGAATGTGAATATAGAGACCTGTTGGGACAAGGCCTTCATCAAAATCAAATTATAGCAGAGAGCCGTCCAGAAAAATGCATTTTGAAACATGGCCCTAAAAACGTTGACATGCAAAACTAACATATCTACAACACTATTTTATTATGCAATACTGCATCATTGATCAAATTTCTCTGGCAGAGAAACAGAAGTTGTCATGCAGTAATACCAAGGTTTAAAACTAGGATGGGTATATAGATGTGGGTGTAATTCAATGGTGTGTATATACATGTGGGCGTAATTCAATGATGGGTATATACCTGTGGGCCTAATTCAATGTGAGTGTATACATGTGGGCATAATTCAATGGTGTGTATATACATGTGGGTGTAATTCAATGATGTGTATATACATGTGGGCATTAATTCAATGATGTGTAAATACATGTGGACGTAATTCAATGATGGGTATATACATGTGGGCATAATTCAATGGTGTGTATATACATGTGGGCGTAATTCAATGATGGGTATATACATGTGGGTGTAATTCAATGATGTGTATATACATGTGGGCATTAATTCAATGATGTGTAAATACATGTGGACGTAAATAAATGATGGGTATATATATGTGGGTATAATTCAATGGTGTGTATATACATGTGGGCGCAATTCAATGATGGGTATATACATGTGGGTGTAATTCCATGATGGGTATATACGTGTGGGCATAATTCAATTGTGTGTATATACATGTGGGCATAATTCAATGGTGTGTATATACATATGGGTGTAATTCAATGGTGTGTATATATATGTGGGCATAATTCAATGGTGTGTATATACATGTGGGTGTAATTCAATGGTGTGTATATACATGTGGGCATAATTCAATAGTGTGTTTATACATATGGGTGTAATTCAATGGTGTGTATATACATGTGGGCGTAATTCAATGGTGTGTATATACATATGGGTGTAATTCAATGGTGTGTATATACAAATGGATGTAATTCAATGGTGTGTATATACATGTGGGCATAATTCATTTTAATTATATGACACTTATAGGCTCTTTATCTAAACACATGTAGAAATACAGATAATAACATAGGTATACATGTATAAAAATAAATAAAGATATTTTAGAAGGATACAAGAGCACTGCATTGCAGACCATAATATGTCGCACTATATATATTGGTGAAATGTAATTGTGAAGATAAGTTCATTTTCATGGCAATCATATGGATTCTTCAGCATTGATTTATATATCTGAAACATAAGGTCTCCACAACGGCACTTTCAAATGGATTTTCATGGAATTTCTACGTTCTGTAAAGCAATGTACTCTATACAAAATCACACATTTACACTGGATCTTCAAGCATCTTTTAGGGCCAAAGCTGGTAAAGTGAAATATTTTTTTACCTTAGTGATGGACCTGTTATGGTTATGGTGTTATTTTGACCTTGAGAACAACAGTTTGCTTTGACCTTGTCAACAAAATCTACAAAGACCTTGTGGGCGAAACCTATATTGACAAGGAGAATGGAACTTTCTTTGACCTTTATAGAATGGAGGCTACTTTGACATTCTTCAGTCCTCTAACCGTGATAATGGAACTTTAACCATAAAGATGGAATTACCCTCGGATACAGCTACCATTCTTACCTTGACCTTGTAGATACCGACGTTCTCCAGGGGCAGATTAAGGCCTGTGGCAAAGGCATGGCGTAACCAAAGCAGTGTTGTTCTATTGACAGGCACATTCAATTTCTGTAACAGACAAAAAGAAACATACTTGTCAAAATATCAGTAAAACATTCCTAAAATATATATATTCAAGAAAATGTGGGGTAACCTTGAGAAGATATAACATAAATTCTCCAGGGATAAGTCTGAAACTCAGACCCAAATATACCCCTCGTACTCACTTCGGAAATCAAATTCTGGTATTTATGCTAATCAACATACATGTACTGGTCATTTATTTATGATTAAACATCCTCATTCAATTTAACAGCCACTATGTCATCCAACATAAGGCTACAGTATGGGAAAGGATGGTGGCAAGGAGAGTTTGGACCCCTTCAGAAGATCATAACACTCCACAAAGGGAAATCAAACAACTTGTAATTTCAATCATGAGTGGGACGGACACACATCAAACGTGACCTGAAGTCAGACAGTGTTTTCAACCTATTTTCCAAACTTAGTTTAGAGCATGTGAAATTAAACTACAATTCATTTGAAAAATCACAAAAATACTGCAGCAGCCATAAATGTAAGTGTAAATGATATGTATATTGCTAACATCCAAGTACAAGAACTACGCGAATTCTAAAGAACGTTGTGAACGAGGCTTCCATGATCCAATCAATTGTCCAACTCCATACATGTACATCAATTTTTTATATAATTCATGAAATGATGATTTTAATCTTGACACTCCATTTCTATGTGCCAATTAAATATTAAGATATTAGATGCAGTCAACAGGTAGTAATTGCCTCTTAAATATTCTCTTTAATCATTTTGACTTGTTTTGACAAAAGACATTGCTGATATATGGTAACTATATATATTGTACCCATATACAAGGGAATCTGAAAGAAGGTCGTGACTGACCTTACATCACGTTACCCTATATCAGCAGTATATACATTGCAAGTGGGAACCCTATATCAGCAGTATATACATTACAAGTGGGAACCCTATATCAGCAGTATTTACATTGCAAGTGGGAACCCTATATCAGCAGTATATACATTGCAAGTGGGAACCCTATACCAGCAGTATATACATTGCAAGTGGGAACCCTATACCAGCTGCAGTATATACATTGCAACTGGGAACCCTATATCAGCAGTATATACATTGCAAGTGGGAACCCTATACCAGCTGCAGTATATACATTGCATGTGGGAACCCTATATCAGCAGTATATACATTGCAAGTGGGAAACCTATATCAGCAGTATATACATAACAAGTGAGAACCCTATATTAGCAGTATATACATTGCATGTGGGAACCCTATATCAGCAGTATATACATTGCAAGTGGGAAACCTATACCAGCAGTATATACATTGCAAGTGGGAATTTAATTAGTTAAATGTAATCCTAAATACAGAAACCTACCAGACCACTTAAACTAAAATGGAATAAATTAAAAACCTGCACTAGACACCCCATTTGCGGAAAGGATAAATATTTTACTCAAAGAGACATTTCAACGCCTAATAATTTCTAATAATGCCTCTAAAGCCTGCAATGCCAATTACCATGAAAACCACCAAATGTTATGTATGTTTTTAAGTTAAAATTCTCCAACAGAGTCAACAAAGTAAATACAAATCAATATAGAACAACACAGGAACGAAAATTTAGCCTTGTACCGTGGTTGGGATGTACCAAATCAAATAGTAACGAGCATGAATGTGTTGTCGCTAGCTTTGTGTACGCCCAACACTAACAATAGGCTGGTGAAGAATACAAACAATTACGTGTGCTTTCGGCAGCAGATCCAGATCTGGGTCAGGGACATGTGATCAGTTGTTCATGTTACAAAAACCTTTTATCTAGTATATTTTCAAAAGAATTTGAAATTGAAATTTAAACTTCATGTGCAGGGACCAAATTGATTATTGAAAGTAGACAAAAACTTTACTTTGTTTTAAAGATTTTTTTTAATAATTCCATATTGAAATTTTGAGTATATATTCTATTATCACTTGTTAAGGACATTTAGATTTGTTACACCTCAAGTGAATTTCTAGCTATTTGATTGGTTGGGAGAAAATTAAACAAAAATCTCTGTCACCCTCCGAAAATACAATGGTTTTAAGGGGCGCAGGTGATATTGCCATGAGACGGTGAAAAATATCACATGCGCAAAAAATGTGCGTTCACCGTTTCGTTACCCCACCGTGATGGTCATAAGAACATTTGACGGCAACAGCCAATTTTATCAAGCGCCGGTTGCGATAGCGATTGTAAACAGCAGACTATCAACAAACAAGATGTCATTATCGAGGTTTGCTGCCTATTCTGAGCTACAAAGACTTTTGGTGTAACAAAATAGATATGACTTTCATTAGCAGGTGACAGTGAATATTGTCACCTGCTAATGAATGTCATATTTATATAATGTCTGTTACTGACTTTTTTAATAACTCTTGTCACCTAAATTGACAGTTCCAAACCTTTCTTTCAGTAACACCTACATGTATGACCAGTTTCAATAGTTCTCAATGTTAATTTCAAAGAATGTGAATTACAGCAACACTGACTAACCTAATTACCTATAGCTAACTAAGAGAAGAACTGCCAATTTTCATATACAGAAAAAATAATCGACGCAATTTACACATTTTGTTTTTAAAGTTAATTGAACTGAATCAAGATTTCATTGCATAACATGACATTTAAAAACTTGTTAAAACCCCCTGAAATGTTTCCTTTCACTTCCTGAGAACTCAACAATACTACCCTTCTGATTCCACAAAATCATGCGATCACGATCAGCAACCGTCAAATCTCCTGCCGACTCATTTTGTCACTGATTGGACAACATTAGGCATCGACAGGCACCGGACTACTTCCTCTCGCTACAACAACGTGAGCTCAACCTGACAAGTGTGACGCTCCGTGGAGCAGCACATCATTTTGTGTAATCTCTATGAAGGCACTAGTCTGCTAGATCGGTTCTTTAATCAAACTTAATTCTTTCCTCATGCTGTTACTGCATGAAATGTGGGACAAATCATGACAGCAGTATAATTCAAGTAATTTCATAGTCGGGCACAAGTTGAGATTTCTTTATATTCCTTATATATGATGTGTAGCAGACGAGATATGTAGCAGAAGATTTCTGAAAGATTCGGAGCATTGGTCTGTTATCTGTTTTATTATAATGCAGGTTTGCATGAAATGTATGGAGTTGTTGATGCTGATTATTAAAATTACACAATACATGTGTGAAATGAGACATTTTTCCCACAAGGCGCCAAAAAAATGTCTACTGAATTTTTCATTGGGACAATATACGACAATATAATAATATTATACCTTCATTATAAGCACAGTTGGTTTTATAACTAGATCATTATAAACTTCCATCTCTGTCATAAATAAAGTCAAATTCAGTCCTCGCAAGGAAATGGCCTATGACACTGACGAAAGTACGGAGGAAGGACACGGCATTGGAAACTTTTCTGGCAACATCTATGTACAATTACTTTCTAGATTACTGTCTCTGTGGGTAACAGACCAGGAAATGGGTCCCTAGACATCCAAAATTGACCTCATCTTTTACAGGACCAGTCCTAATGGCCTTGGCATGTTCACAACATGTGGCATTTCAAAGCGCTCCGAGACTTACTTGGCAACCTATCGCCCACAAAGGATACACATAAACAGTTCATTGTTACAGATTTTCAAAAAAAATTACAGCATGAACATAATATACTGAAGTTTCAAATAACAAATACACCTCACAGGAAACTAACCACAGCCTAGATTTAGTTGTATCAAGCTCAATGTTCAGTCCATGAAAGTAATTCTTGAATCAAGAAATATTTTCATAATTATTGAAACTTCAAATTACATTTGAAAGTCAAGAAATATTTTCATGATTATTGAAACTTCAAATTATATTTGAAAGTCCTGTGTCTCAAAATTATAACTTTCAGATAAAATACAAAAAAATATTCCCGTTTCTACAAACATTTCTTAAAAATTGAATTTGACTTGAAACCAATGAAATGGAGCTGAATACATAGTCTAAATAAAGAAAAGGAGCTAAATGAATAGTCGAACCAAAGAATTGGGCTGAACACATTTTATGTCTATATATTTAGCAACGAGAAGGAGCTATAGTAATCCAAAATCCTGGTATACAGCAGTATAGATCAGTATATTGATTTTTTCCACTTTTGACAAAAATTGTCTCCCGTTTCACCCCATTTAAAAATAATCGTCTCCTCTTAAGCTTTCTAGAGCCTTGAAAAACAAATTCTATTGATAGTAAAGGTGACATTTGATTTAGTGGCGATTTATTTGAAAAACAAATCTCCATTAGATATCCAAGTATATATTTTGTTTCTGTCACGGGTGGTAATTTTAATTTTTGTAACAGTACGTATTTTATTTCAAGCACAGTATATATCTTTCATTTCAGTCACATTTCATATTATTTCAGTCACAGATAATAGTGTATTTCACATATTATTTCAGTCACAGATAAAAGTGTATTTCACATATAATTTCAGACAAAGATAATAGTGTATTTCACATATAATTTTAGTCACAGATAATAGTGTATTTCACATATTATTTCAGTCACAGATAATAGTGTATTTCACATATTATTTCAGACACAGATAATAGTGTATTTCACATATTATTTCAGACACAGATAAAAGTGTATTTCAGTCCTGTTGCAGTTGAGAGCCTATATTCTGGGACTATTAACAGACATTAATTGTCTCTCTTAACATTGTTTTTACCAAATCCTTTTACCATCCCAGAGGAAACAGTTTTACTGTTTAGTGGACAATCTGCCCATGATTTCCGCTCCATCTGTTATACGAGCGAGCGTCCAATCGGGACACTGACCATCCATCACTGAGGCCTGATAATGAGAGCCTCATATGACAGGGTGTGACACACAGAGATAACAGAACTAATATGACAAGCAGTACAGTGTTTAACCACAGGTATAAATATTTACATTGAAGCTTCTTTCAAAATACAGTCAAACTTTTATTAAGAG